TATATATATATATATATAAGTAAGTATAGAAGTATAGATATAGATGGAGGTCTGTCGGCTGAAAGCTTACGTGCTTGGATATTTTTTACTCAATCACGCAAACCCGGGTGAATGAAATGAGCAAATTACAAATTTGATGTGGGTTAACCCTTCTGGTCGTTCGTAAAACATTATTCGTTGTAATGAAAACACTGCGGACCTGTATAAGTTTCTGAAAACCTTTTCTCCGGACTTGCTCATATCGGGGATTTATTGTAATAAGGGGCCTTGTGTGAGCCCCTAGTTTCGAAGTCACCCTGGCTTAGTGTATACGAAGGGTACATTCGTATCGATCGACGCGACTGTGTCGATTATCGAATCCCGCCGGCAGGTACCGATTTTTCTAATCGATTACGTACCTCTTCTTTTTTTTTTCACCTCATCCCACTAAGTGGGATCGGCACAGCTAATTTTTCTCTTCAATTCTCTTCTATCAGCCGTCATTTCAACACTCATTCCTGTCTCTCTCATATCGTTGTTCACACACTCCATCCATGTCTTCTTCGGTCGACCTCTTCCCTTGCACTACCATTTCCATACATCTCCTAGTCACATGCATCTTCTCTCTACGCATCACATGTCCATACCACGCTAACCGTCCGCTCTTTAAATTGTTAATTACCGGAGCTACTTTCACACTTCCTTCTAATCCGATACGTACATACTTAACAAAAGTTCACCGATGACTTGAGAAGGAATAACATTGTGTAATAAAAATCACAATTAATCATCATTGATAAGCTTAGGCAGCAATTTCGATGAGCTTCATTCTATATTAACAGTATCTGAAAGCGGTATTCAATCATTTTGTATTCGCTTATATACCTAAAAGAAAAATCCAACTAAAAAATTGAAAATAAATTTGAATTAAAATAGTGTAAGAAAAAATGATTTTATTGTAAAAAAAGCGTGGGCTGCACGGTGTCAGTAGTTTAAAATATTTTATGAACAGATATGAGTAGTAGGGTTATTTTGATAATATCCTGAAAAGCACCCCACGCTTTTTTACAATAAAATATTTTTTCTTACACTATTTTTAATTAAAATTTATTAAAATTCATTTTCAATTTTTTAGTTGGATTTTCTATAAAAGCGTGTTTTGTTAGTTTTTTTTAAACTATTATTTATTTCTCATTTTTTAGTTGAATTTCAATTTTATTCAATATATTTTCTTTTAATTTTTTTTTATATTGAATTGTCATCGGTCCTTAATAAGTATACCAAATTCCGACGTTTTGAAGGGGGTCAAAATCCTGTTCAAAGATCCGTTACAAACATACATACGTCTGAAGCTAATAAAAGCGTATTAATAATGTGTATTAAAATAATTTTCCGCCCAAAGCATGACGCGCATGTCCCGGTAAATGTGAGAAAATTTAAAACAATAATAATAACAATAATAATTGTCAGTTTAAACAATAATAGTTGTTATAACTGACTACATAACGGGATTGTGTTTCTGCGTAAATATAACGAGGAAAATATTAAAATGTAATTCAAATTGCAGAAGTTGAACGCGAATAACAATGTTGTGTGTGTGTGTTTATCGTTCGCGCAATTATTTTCGAAAATGGATATTAAACATTTGTTATCTGTAATGTATACGGTATCTTTTGGTGCGTGGAATAAATTTATGAAGGCTTTTTTCTTGTTTTTATTACGAACAAGCGGTACGCTCCGGCTCCGCTCGGGTCTTTAAGAAAAATTCAATGATATTTGACGTTGTTTTATTTTTTAAAATAAAAGAACACTTATTGCCTATAACTTATTGCATAACTATAATAGTTAGACATATGCTGTCGCGACACTTTTTCTAAATAATGATGTGTTCTACAAAGTCGTAGTACATTATTTTATTCCACCATCAATCGTTTTTGCGGGGCATGTTATGTAAAGAATATTTTAGGTAATTTTTTATATATTGGGTTACATTATTAAAGCTTTAGTAAAGATCCCTAATTTTTTTCAAAAATATTATAGCCTATGTCACTCGGGAATGATGTAGCTTCCAAACAGTGAAAGAATTTTTCAAATCAGTTCAGTAGTTTCGGAGCCTATTCAATACAAACAAACAAACAAATATTTCCTCTTTATAATATTAGTATAGATTAGTTTGGTTACGGAATTTTAATGTTGGTATTTTTTAACGACACTGAAGGCACGTTCTATCTGATGGTCAGGGGTCACTGGCGCTCGTGGTCTTTAGAGTCCCAGGGCTCTGCGGCCTGTCATTTAAAAATACTTCTAAACCTCGAATACCCATATCGAGGGACGAAAGACTGGTTGAAGCGGCTTTTCGCTAAATACGCGACCTTTATCTTTGTAATTAAAGGTGATTTTTCTTTGGTATTAGCATCAACAGTTCGATGTTTTCAAATGAACTTCAATGAAGTTTACCTCGTTCAAATTATGATATTTTTTCCAAATTTTAAACTTGAAATGGCTCTCCTGTAGTTGTTTAAAAATGTTTCTTAATCCGAATAGCTTTTCGCCTCTATATATTATCATCATATCGCTCAGTAATCATCGTACTTATAGTTTCTTTTACTTCGTTGACCGTAAAATGTGTTATAAAATCCGCAAGTGGTTCAAACATTCTATTTATATCGCAAAACGGGCAAGCTACCATCGAGGGGACCGCTAACGCTATAGCCACTTTGCTATTTTATAGTTCAAGGACGACTATAAATTGCACGAACAAGGTTTTAATTACGATTCAGTGGAATTAATTAATAAAAAATAATAATAAAAATGATCTTCTTAAATATGAACACATAGAGTGTCATAGAGCTATTTCTCAGGGCGTCTACATTATATTAACAACTAGCGACCCGCCCTCGCTTCGCTTCGGAAAATGTAATTTATTATTGATTTCTCAACTATTTAATATATGTTATTATACATATAAACCTTCCTGTTCAATCACTCTATCTGTTTAAAAAAAACCGTATCAAAATCCGTTGCGTAGTTTTAAAGATTAAAGCAGACATAAGGGTATAGGGACAGAGAAAAAGCGACTTTGTTTCATACTATGTAGTGAAGCTGAAATTTTGGATAAACATCAATTGTTTAATTATTATTTTTTATGATCGAAGGATTACTGGTGGCCCGGAAGCCTTTCCAGTTTCACCAGGACAGGTGGGCGAGCAAGGGCTCAGCCAGGAGGGGGGATTGTTTATTATGCAGTTATTAAGGGCTTGCTAGTTTTAATTGCGAAGCATACGTGCCTAACGATACGAAACGCACGTAAGCTGTATCGCAATATTATTTGAACCAACTCGCATTTCAAAGTGAGCGATGGCCACCAGTTCTTCACGTCTATGTGGTCCAGTAACCATTTTATGCCAAGTGAAATTGTGTTCACGTCTACCCAATTAATGTAAAAAAACATTACACATATCTTGTATCATGCTCGATGTAACAAGTGTAATGAGATTTTCTTCTGTACACGTCTCGTTCTGTGGGCTCAAAGCTAACTTTTACGCGATCGAGAAGTTAAAAAGCTCGCACTAAGCACAAGGACGTAAGATCTTCATTTTCGAGGATGTCGTTTTATCCATGACCGGTTGCCGAATTTGAGTATGGATGAGCAATTCGAGCATCGTTACTATTAGAAAATAAACTGATCAAATTGGCCTGGTTTTTTTCAAAGAATTATAAACCGAATGATCATGGTTCCATACTCTTCGTATATACGAGTGTTACTGTGCTACTTATAATATTTTGTACTCAAGTTTAACAATATTTGGTATGTGTATGTGCATTACTATAATTCTCATGTTGTATTTGTTATTTTAGTTAGGTATGTGTTATTTGTTCTACACACACTTATCACTTTTTATTATTATTCTCATTATCCTCTCGCAGGTCTGCTGGAAGAGATTTCTTAAAGAAATAAGCAGTGCCTTTGTACATAATTTTCCTATTACTCTGTACTATGTCTTTTTTTCTGTGTGTACATAAATAAATAAATAAATAAATAAAGTTTCCGTACGAAGCGCTCTTATTTGCGATTTGAATAACGGCTTTTGTGTTTTCATCATCGCTAAAATATCTCATATCTCGTTTCACTTGTATCTTGGACTAAATCGGGCCTCCTTGTCTATAGGGAAGGTTTTTTTTTTTTATTGCCTTTGTAGGCAGACGGGCATACGGCCCACCTGATGGTGAGTGGTTACCGTCGCCCATGGACTTCAGCAATGCCAGGGGCAGAGCCAAGCCGCTGCCTACGAATATATAATAAACGATAGTTTTGTATATATGAATCTTTGTATAACTGAATTGTATTGTTTATCGTGTTTACAGTAAAGGGTAGTTTTGTGTTGTACAAAACTTGAAGTTGAAACCCCTTGTCGGAAATCTCAGAACTTTAGGCTGTATGTCGTAAGCATTGTTCAGCAATAATAACTTGAAAGTTTACAATAGAAATGTGTACAGTCAAATATTGAATATTATATACTATGTTTATTTACTGGCTGTACACGTCCGAAGTACTGGTTTTGAGTTGTGTGACTATGTCGGTGTTCAAATCCTGTAGGTATTCGCAAAGGTCCTACGCGATGAAAGAATAACCTCTGGTAATAAAAATCGCAACTGTATTTTTTTTAATTAATGTAATTACTAGTGGTAGGGTAAAATATACACGCGCCGTTTCTAATTCTATTATTCAATGGGTTAAAATCTAGGAATGTAAAAGGGAGACCATAGACATCAAAACGTGAACATCTTCACCCACGTTTACACATGAATTTAACGTCACGATTGAATTACTTAAGGACTGTCCAAACCTTCAAACCGGAATGCACGATTGCTCCGGGGCAGAAATAGGCAGGGTAGTGGTGGCCCGTGCGGGCTCACAAGAAGTCCTCCCAGCCATAAGAATGCCTACGTTTAATGGCAGTGTTGAATAAAAGTGAGGGATTTTTAAAAACACTACTATTTATCTGGATGTCTATTTTCAGCCGTCAGTGATGCTGCCAATATGGACGTCGGAATTCCTCCAGGCCGTCTCCAGAATGGATCCGAAGTTCATAGCCTTGCATCTGCAGGAAGTAGGGGGTAAAGCGTACGAGAAGTCGATGCAGTACGTCAAGGATTTTGTCCAGAGGCTCTGCGACTGTCCAGAGTTGAGGTTGTTTGACAAAATAAGGATATACCTAGACGAGGACTTCAGCTCGCCTGAGAAATTCACTGTGAGTAATGGTTCTGTCACATTCTTCTTAAAGCGGATTTATTTGTGGATAAAACTTGTTTGAATGACGTCACTTATAACCTGCTACAAACATAGTCATTAGGTTGTTTCAATCGGACCATGAACTTGTACATTCTTCATTAATTAATCATTAAATTATTTCATTAGTTAGTGCTGCCATATGAGGAAGTGGATTGAAAGCTACTGTGACGGGAGTCAGTAAAAACGCGAATTCGAATTGCTCTTGTTTGAAAATCGTCGCGCAAATTTAACAAAACTTGGTCATGTGTGACGTCATTTGTGGTTAAACTAACAAACGACCATTAACGTTTTAAAGTTTTTGCCCCATAGGCCCTGGGCAACATGTACTTTGCGCATTCGTCGCTCGTCGACCTCAAGATATGGGATTTCGACCTTAAAGCTTACGTTGATGTTGTCGGGAAAGAGATCCACAGTGGTAACATCGAGAATGCCTCCACTAAAGAGAAGGCAAAGTTCCCTCAGCATTTCTTCCCAGAGGTAATGTCGTCGCTGTATTTACACTTGAATGTACTTAGATAACCACTTTCTTTTATTAATTAGCAATAATTTACAAATATCTGTGTACTAGCTGACCCGGCAGACTTCGTAGTGCCTCAATCGATAAATAAAAGACTTAAACTTTTGTAGAAATTAAACTTAAAACAAACAAAAGGAATTCGATTCCGACGGGGGATACATCAATGGAAAAACAAAATTGTTATTTTTATTTCATTTCGAGCTTTCATATTTATCTACCTTTTAAACCTTCTCTGGACTTCCACAAGTAATTCAAGACCAAAATTAGTCAAATCGGTCGAGCCGTTCTCGAGTTTTAGCGAGACTAACGAACAGCAATTCATTTTTATATGTATTTCTGTGTACTACTGAAGTTTGGTCCTTAATCTGGGAAGTAGGTCTCATGGTGACGTAACGCCAAAACTGGCGGATCAGTGCACATCAAATCTTTTTTATTATTATTTGTATTCTCTTGACAACGTTATGTTTTAGTGTTTAACGGTCAATATTATTTATAACAGTCTAACTAAAGCAACCAACCGCATTGAGTCGCGGCCTAAATGATGTGACGCCCGGTGCATTCGTATCGAGCTGTGTTAGTGGTCCGAATCCGTACTTAATACATGTCCATGGATATCATTGCTTATATTACGCTTATGCTTATATGTCTATTCCTGCCGTAAAGCAATCGTTCTGGTCCTTAAAGCCGAGTGATTGGGTTAGAGTTATACTGTATAGTCTTTAAAGCAGTGAGATTGGGTTATACTGGACAGAGTCCTTAAAGCCGTGAGATTGGGTTAGAGTTATACTGGATAGAGTCCTTAAAGCCGTGAGATTGGGTTAGAGTTATACTGAATAGAGTCCTTAGAGCGGAGAGATTGAGTTAGAGTTATACTGGATAGAGTCCTTAGAGCGGAGAGACTGGGTTAGAATTAGACTGGATAGAGTCCTTAAAGCCGACAGATTGGGTTAGAGTTATACTGGATAGAGTCCTTAGAGCGGAGAGACTGGGTTAGAATTAGACTGGATAGAGTCCTTAAAGCCATGAGATTGGGTTAGAGTTATACTGGATAGAGTCTTTAAAGGCGTGAGATAGGGATAGAGTTGGATTGGATAGAGTCCTTGACTGAAACTCGGATCCCACGTCTCGGCGAGGAGTGTCACGGGCCACAGCGAGCGCTGACCGAGCGGTGCTGTATTGTTGCAGTGCAAGTGGTCCCGGAAAGGGTTCCTGCGCACGCGTTGGACCATCCGCGGCACGGCGGTGGAGTTCGTCAACATCCACCTGTTCCACGACGCGTCCAACCTGGTCGCCATGGAGCCCTTCCCGTCTGTGGGTACCGCAGGACGCGTGTTCAAAATGTCGACCGACTTTTTTTTTTCAGTTCAGCTGTTCATATTTAATATTAAAAAAAACTATTGAATTTTTGGAATTTAAAGTTCTTGAAGTAATCATGGCCTAAAAGATAAGACGTCCGGTGCATTCGTATCTAGCGATGCGACTGGGCCGGTGATCGAATCCCGCAGGCAGGTAATATTTTTTCTAATTTAATGCGTACTTAACAAATGTTCACGAGTGATTTCCAAGGTGAAGGGTTAACATCGCTACTGGCAGTAGAGCGTCTTGTGAGTCTATACTTGTAGGTATTACCGCCCTGCCTATTCTTGTCGTGTAGCAGTAATGCGTTTCGATTTGAGGGATGCTGCAACCGTTGTATTGTTAAAATTTAGACTTAGAACAAGTGACTCTTGGTGGGCGGCGCATATACCTTGTAGATGTCTGTGGTCTCTACTCACCACTTAAAACTAGGAAGACATTGAGATAATTCACTCATTAAAAAAATATTATTATAATGGTCCAACATTTTTAAGTACATAATTAGTTTTCTTTGTTTTTAACTGTCAAATAAATAAAACCGTCAATTAAATGAAACTGTCAAATAAATTGAACTGTCATATAAATTTCAAAAATCTCGAGAAAGTTTAGGTATACATATTTAGTCTGTGCCTGTGAGTCTGCCGTCATCCAGCAGTGCGTGCCCGCAGGTGTACTGCCGGAGCCGGCGGCGCGCGCTGCGGCACACGCTGCGGCAGCTGCACGCGGACGGCAGCGCCGCGCCCTACTTCATCTTCGGGGACTTCAACTTCAGGACCGACACGGCAGGCGTCGTCAAGGTACGCGCGCCACGCCACGGTAGGCTTGCGGTGAGCAGCGGCTCGGCTCCGCCTCTGGCTTGCTGAAGTCCATGGGCGACGGTAACCACTCACCATCAGGTGGGCCGTACGCTCGTCTGCCTACAAGGGTAATTAAAAAAAAACGCACATACTCAAGACGCTCAAGACACACAAGTCGATGCCATTATAAGCCGCGCCAATAAAGAAACGAATCGAAAATGGCGTCTATGTAGAACTATTCTACCTGCACTGACAGATGGTAGGGTTAGCAAATAAAAATAATAGTTTAAAAAAACTAACAAAATACGCTTTTATAGAAGATCGAACTAAAAAATAGAAAATAAGTTTTAATAAATTTGAATTAAAAATAGTGTAAGAAGCGTATTTTGTTAGATTTTTTTAAACTATTTATTAATTATTTTCATTTTTTAGTTGAATTTCGATTTTTTCAAATTTTTTTTTAAATATTTATTTGTCTTCGGTCCTTAATAAGTATAAGGGGGTCAAAATCATGTTCAAAGATTCCGTTACAAACAAACATACATACATACGTCCGAAGCTAATTAAAGCATATTAAAAAGAAAAAGTTTATTAAAATTTTAAAGAAATGTAAAAAGAAAAAAATTAGAATGTACTTTACTTTACTTTATGCCCTGGCAGAAGGGGAGGTGTCACATCTGAGATGCAGCTTGCGTAGACACTTTTGCTGCCAGTCATCTAAGTCGCGTAACTTGAAAGTGAAAAAACTCGAACTCAACAACAAAGTCGGAACTGATATTTTTTTTGCACGCAGTACGCGCCGTGTGCGACTAAAGACAGCAATAGTTTAGAGTGAGAGCGCATGATCGCCGCCGCCATTTTAGATTCGTTTCTTTATTGCCGCTGCTTATACCCATCATCATTCTCCTGTCCTTCTCCCAGTTACCCGGGGTCGGTGCAACATGTCTTCTCCTTCCACACTCGTCTACTGTCGCTCACTCTCTTCTTATACATATCGTATTTCACGCACATATCACAGTGGCTTAATAATGACACACATTAAAAAAAAATTTGCAGACATTATTATAAAGCTGTCTTTCATTCACCGTAGAAGTCATTCGTGAATACGTTAAATACGTATTTCATTACAAAAAAAATGGTACTTTTCTGTGGGATTCGAACACCCACACAATCGCCTCCGTTGATACGAGTACACCAGACGACTTATCTTTCAGGCCGCGATGACTTTTATAAAACTTACACAGATAAATACGTTCACAAACTTTGTTGTTTAGTAATAAAATCCAACCGCCATCTGTTATGTACAAAAAAAACACGGTGTATCATCTGAGAGAGAGAGAGGGATAGAGTGAGTGAGAGAGGGAAGGTTAGAGGAAGTGGGAAAAAGAGAGAGGGATAGAGGTAGTGAGAGAGGGATAGAGGGAGTGAGAGAGAGAAAGAGAGCAAATACTTTATTGAATACCAAAACATAACATGAAAAAGAACAATCAACAGGCTCGTATAGTGTACAAGAGGCGATCTCTTCGCTGAAACCGGTCTCTGTTGGCGTGATGTTGCAGAAGGTGACCGAGGACTTGTCTGCGCAGCGCGTGCAGGGCGGGGCGGAGGGCGGGCGGCTGCAGTACCGGCGCCGCGCCGACCAGCGCCTCGTGCTCACGGTCGGCAAGAAGGAGTTCGCGCACGTCGACCACCAGAAGATATTCCGGGAGCCCTGGGTGAGGGACCTGCCGACACCCCCCTCACATTACCGTCTAGTCTCATACCAAGGACAAAGTGGAAGGCTCGTCGTAGAAGGCTTCCTCGCAAGGAGGAAGAGAAAGCCTTCCTACACTGCCTCATCACGCAGGGTTACCAGTGTGGAAGGCTTAAACGACGGAGGAAAGATCTTCCACCGAGCGGGTGATGTTGCTCGGTAGACCGACGGTCCGAATGTTGTTGTTAGGAACTTGTATATATACAAGCTTATTTTGGAAATGTCGTAAGCGAGATTCAGGCATCTGTCAAATATCTTGCGTTGTATGATGGCTTCCCGCCACAGACAATTCATCAATAATAAATTTTTATTGCTTAGTTCGATGGATAAGCTCACGGCCCACATGGTGTTAAGTGGTTACCGGAGCCCATAGACATCTACAACGTAAATGCCGCCACTCACCATGAGATATGAGCTCTACCATAGTCTTAGTTTTATAGTACAACGGCTGCCCTCACCCTACAAACTGAAACGCATTACTGTTTCACGGCAGAAATAGGAAGTTATTCCTTCAGCGCGAAAGTTGTTCGTGAACAATTGTTAAGTACCTATTTCATTAGAAAAATTATTACCCGCCTGCGGGATTCAAACACCGGTGCATCGCTACATACAAATTCACCGGACGTCTTATCTTTTAAACCACGATGACTTCTAAGTATCATTTCGTTCAGCATTCATATAAAACCATTAAAATAGATACTGTTTATTCATTGTCCGGGATGCGAGTGCCCACGGACCTGTGCTATAGAACTGACTTCGAACTAGTGCCTTAAAGCGGTTGGTAGCGTTAATGATGTCGATGTCCATGGGCTCCGGTACTGAACACCGGATCGCCGGTCTCCTGTTTCAGCTGCAGCGTTACGACCGCGAGCTGGAGGCGCTGCGGCCGCACCTTTTCGAGTTCCCCGTCAAGTTCCCGCCCACCTACCCCTTCGAGGAGGACGTGCTGCTGCCCACGCACTACATGAAGACGAGGTGGGTAGCAGCGGCATATTCCTAACCTTCACAATCATTCTATCTCATTCTGCTGCAGGCTAAATCTTAGAAACGTATACGTGTGTCTCTTTCTGAGAAGTTACTACACGATGACGTTTTCGCTCGTCTCGTTAGAGAGAGATTGAGAGAGAGAGAGAGTGTGTGAGAAAGAGTGAGTGAGTGAGAGAGAGAGAGTGAGAGAGAGAGAGAGTGAGAGAGAGAGAGAGAGTGAGAGAGAGAGAGAGAGAATATAGATACGTTTGTACAACAGGCGGTCTTATCGCTAAAAGCGATCTCTTCCAGACAACCGTTTAGTTTACAGAAATTCTGGAAAATATAAAAATATAGAAGGTATGTTGCGGTGTACTATAGACAATACGTTATTATAGAAAATAGCCGTACTCGCCCGCTTTGCTGGGCATTTAAAATTAACATTATTATTTATTGTCATTATTATTAGGGAGTCCAACACTACATGGATACCAAGTTTGAAGTCAATCAAGATGCATGGTTCAGTAATTATAACGGAACATCCGTAAAAACCACTGTGGATTTATATATTAGTATAGATATATACATACAATAAATATAATATATATACCGACAGCTTCACTCATGACAGTTGTAGCAGTGGTCTGCTATTATATCTTGTTGAAATACCCTGTATAGCTTCTAAACAGATTGCGTGCGTGTCGGCCCGCAGGTGCCCGTCGTGGTGCGACCGCGTGCTGGTGTCGCAGGCGGCGCGCCCGCTGCTGCACGACCCGCCGCGACACGACACGCCGCGACACGACACGCCGCGACACGACCGGTACCTCGCTGTTACATTTATTTTTACATATACTGGGTGTTAGGAGATCGCTTCCGAGACAGACGATAGGACTAATGACACCTTTGATGATGGGACGGAAAAAAAATATATCCTGATTAAAAAAAAAATATTGACATGACAACGTCTTATAATTCGATGGAGCCGGCTGCACGCACGAAAAAACATGACTCATGCGGCGTTACCTCGCTCTGAGGCGTTCCATTTAAGGCTTGAAGTGCAAGCGAGAGCGCGCAACGAGCGACAAAGAGGCACAATCGGCCTCCGCGTTGGGCAGCGTTCGACATCTGTCTCTCTCCTACTTGAGTGAGCGATGCATCCGCGTGGACAGCTGCTGTACAATAATATATTTACATGTTTTCGTCAAGTATGAAGTTTAGTGAAAAGTGAATGTGGTGTCAATTGTCCATACAAAATATCTATTAAACAAATAAAATTAAAATTTTCTTTTCAAAAATGAAACCATTCCATCAGTATTTTCTTATGACGATGTCACGTTCAACTACCGTCAGTAAACCGACTTTACAGAAAACCGTTTTCTTTTTTAAACTGTTTGTTTTGTCGGGATCGATTATTAAGTTTAGTATTTTTAGTTTTTATGGCAGTTTCATTTAGACTTTCATGTGGGACAGATATTCTAGGTAAAGACTAGCACAGTGGCGAAGTAGAATTTGTGTGACCACGCGAGCCTGCCCCACGCCACGCCGCGCCCGTAACGTTCGTTGATCCGAGCATTTTGATCTAGTGTTTCATTGCTGGTTTTTTTTTGTAAAGTAATGTGTTTTTTATGAATCTATCGTTTCATTTAGCTGTACTAACATGATGGAGCGTAAATAATGCTAAGAAAACGTTTTAAAAAAATCAGAATCTATTTGCTTCAGAAGGAAGCGGTCTCCTAACACCCAGTATAGTATAGTAGTATATTATACGTACATAGGGTTTAACCAAACCGGCAATTAAAAATTTTAATACACATAAATTAATAATATATTTTTTATTTACATAGAATATTAACGTTGAAGGCATAAGCTCGAGTTTCCACTAATGATTATATTTCATTTCAATTAAACACAATGTAATTGATTTGTATGTTTTAAAAATATATATGCGACCTATTTGAATGCACATTGCTTTAAATAAACTAGTGTTCACGCAGTAGTCGAAATTCGACTATAATTAATTAAAATTATAAGTTTGGACATTATTATGGTTCTATTGTCAAAGACTATTATATTTCTATAGTCACAGATTTCGCCAAGACTACACTATAGACAAATACTCGTAATATTAAAGATAAAGAATATTAACCTATTCTCAATTTGACTACAGACTATAAGCAATAACAAAAGTTTGATAATAAACAAAGAGTATATGTGTGTTTCAAATATATGGTAGTGTGTGTAATGTTTTCTATATTGATTTAATGTATTTTTATAACAAAATTAAAAAAAAATTAGCATTCTGCACTTCTTCTCTATATTCTCTATAAGTGTGAGAAATTTCATACTCCTTCGTCCACACAATTTTCGTAAAAAGGGGTTTCAAAGTTTTTGCTTCACGTATTAATATATAGATAACATAAATTATAGATCAGAAGTAGGTGCTTCATGTGAAATACATAAAATCTATATATGAATAAAAAAATATATTTGCGAGTTTGATTTGTAAGTTTAATTTAATGTAATTTTAGTTTAATTTTAATATAAACTAGTCTACATGGTCATCGGGCCACTGGCTCAAAAAGCACAATCAAGTAGGTACAGAGTAGTATTGAATATTTACAGGAGGTCCGTGACGGAGTCCACTGACAGCAGCAGCGGCCGGGCCTCGTCGGACAGCAGTCCCGCTAGATCCGGCTCACCAGCCAGCAAGGTCTGTGCCACGCTCTGCTGCTCACAATCAGCACCGCCCTGAGGGCTCCACAGCAACCATCGAACTCGGCAAAGAGTTCAACGTGCAACCTAACCTTAAGACCAGCCCGCTGAGTTTCGTGTCGGGTCGTTATGATGATTATGATGATGATACAAAAGAGATTTTGATCCCTAAGCCTCATGTCGTGATGAGGTCCGGACTCCAGCAAATGTTTAGTACGAGGAGGGTAGTGTGTTTGTCGAATTGTTTACGCAATAGAATAATAATAAATAATAATAAAATAATTTAGTGCCCTTCACACTAAGTAAAATAAAGTATTATCCTGTTCACACAGGAGCCAGTCACCGACGACGCCCTAGACACGTCCTTACGGATCCATCAGATCCAATAACCTTTGCATTAGACGCCTTCAGCTCTAACACCAGGAGCAGGCTTAGGGATCCCGATCCGGTAGTAGATTCATTCGCGAAGCTGCCGTTGAGTTGTTAGGTCTCCTTTGGAGGCGCTAGGGCAGCTGTTAGCAAATCCCACCCCTCCTGGCTGAGACTTTGCTCGCCCGTCTGTCCTGGTTAAACTGGAAAGGCCTTCGGGCCCCAGTAATCTCTAAATCATAAAAAAATAATTGACAGCGAGTGTTCTACACCTACACATGTCACACACCCTTCACCCCTTTGTTAATGAATGTCAACGAAAGAAAAGAATTATCTATTATATTATATTAAATAAATTATAACAGAAAAGGAAAAAGGCAAAAGGAGGTGACTCAGCCAATGCTGTTGAAAGTCCATAAATCGAACAGCGCTGGATTTCAGTCAGCCCCGTAAAAGAAACAGAACTAGTGCACAGTGACGTCACAAGTCTGTACGTCCGTAGCGCAACGACACGTTGAAGAAGAAAGGCAGCGCGTTGGAGCTGGACGCGCTGGCGGTCCCGGGGCTCGCGCTCAGCAGGAGGAGCATCGCCGACCCCACCAGCGTGCAGCAGGCCATCAGCGCCAGGTGCGCGCCGACACAGAGCCGAGTTTTGACTATAATTAATTTAAATTATAAGTTTAGATGGGTGGACGAGCTCACAGCCCACCTGGTCTTAAGTGGTTACTGGAGCCCATAGACATCTACGACGTAAATGCGCCACCCACCTTGAGATATAAGTTCTAAGGTCTCAAGTATAGTTACAACGGCTGCCCCCCCCCCCTTCAAACCAAAAGGCATTACTGCTTCACGGCTGAAATAGGCAGGGTGGTGGTACCTACCCGTGCGAACTCACAAGAGGTCGAGTAATTACGCAAATTATAATTTTGCGGATTTTGATTTTTATTACATGATGTTATTCCTTCACCGTGGAAGTCTTTACTGGTGGTAGGATCTCTCGTGAGTCCGCGCGGGTGGGTACCACCGCTCTGCCTATTTCTGCCGATACAGATACGATAATTTCACGGATCGACGACATCCTCAGTATTGCAGATGATTGGAGGCACCGCTCTTCAAAAAGGCTGGTTAGTAAGGGTGATGGCGTCTACGCGCCTCCATCGGCTAGGCTCTGTCGTAGCACGAAGATGCCGTGATCGTGCTACTATTTCTCGGGAGTCGTGCTGCGATTCGTTTAGCTACCACACTAATGACCGTCTCCGACATATAGGTTAATAAAAGTTGTATAAGCCGCGCCAATAAAGAAATGAATCGAAAATGGCGTCTATGTACCTGCACTGACATAAATGGTAGGGCCAATAAAGAAAATGAAAGATATAAAGAAAAAGTTGTTTGTTGTAATAAATATAAAAAAAAACAAATGAGAATTTACTCTACTTTATGCCCTGGCAGAAGAGGAGGTGTCTCATCTGGGATGCAACTTGCGTAGACACTTTTGCTGCCAGTCATCTAAGTCGCACAGCTTGAAAGTGAAAAAACTCGAACTCCACAACAAAGTCGGAACAGTGTGCTTAGTGCGAGTTTTTTAACGTTCTCGATAGCGTAAAAGTTAGCCCAATTTTGTATGAAGTTGGAACAGCGCCCCTAGCGGCAAACATAAACAAATTATCCCATTCCATACAAATATGAGTTAACTTTTACGCTATCGATAACGTTAAAAAACTCACTAAGGACACTGATATTTTTTTGCATACAGTACGCATCGTGTGCGACTAAAGACGGCAATAGTTTAGAGTGAGAGCGCACGAATGCGGCCGCCATTTTAGATTCGTTACTTTATCGGCGCGGCTTATGGTTTCGCAAAGCTGAGTCGTGTGTGTCCCGGGGCAGGGCGGGCGAGTCGGACGCGTGGGGGGGGCGGCGCCGGCTGGTGCGGAACCAGTCCGAGGGCAACAAGCCGGAGGGGGAGGTGCGGCGCGGGGAGGGGCGCCGGCGGACCGAATATGGCGTCATCGGGGACACCGCCTGCATGGGGGACCACAAGGTCAGTCTCCTTCTTGAGTCTCTACATCGGGCCAGGATTAATAAGACACGTGTCCAGTTAAGTGACTAAGGTATATTGGGATTACAACGCAACGTGCTGCCGACAGCCCGACAATCCCGAGTTTTTTTAAGAGATTTTGTGACCTGGTAACTAAGACCTTTAAGTCATGTCTTATTTTAATTTTTATTCTTATTTTTATGAAAAATAATGAAATCAAATGAAGATGATTAATTTGAGACATTAATCAACTGGAATGAAATTAAATTAAATGATATGGGATGAAATACAATCTCAGTAAAATGGTGGTCATTTACTGAGATTTTTTCAGTGGACTTTTTGGAGGATCTCGAAAAGCTACGTCCAGCAAACAGTTAATAAATCGCCGTTATTACCCGTTTAAACCTGAAAAAACACCAATCAGACAAAATAAAAAAAAAACACAACTTCACTCCTCGTGTTCCCGCCAAAAAGTCCACAATCCCGAGACTGACGTGGCATCCATAGATAATAAACATAAAAAAGTTATAGGTAAGCAACTCAAGCACTCAACAAAAACGTTTACGGGCGTCGGCCACTAGATGGCTTCGCTTCGATTAGTTTCTCATTGCTCCTGTAGATGGCAGTAACATTATCGATCCTATATTTTATTTTTAATGAAGGCTTTCGTAAATTATCTGAAACCGAAAATTAATATAATTTACTCAATTTGTCTATAACAAACAGAGTTGTATGATATTTTTTATTTTATTTTCTGTTTTTAGTTATATATTAATTAAATGCCTTAACATTAAAAACATATAAGTTTAGCGGCATCCGTTACAAGATGTCGCTAGTTTCCATACAAAAAAAATATTGGTCTTAAAGTATCGCAGTTTCGGGGCCCTCGTATCATCACTGCAATATAATTATCGCTAACACATAAATATTAACGGTTGCTATATGGACATTTGTGGTCCCTATATCATACCTACTCTTTAAAAAAAAAAGATTATACAAAAGAAAAAAAATGGTTTTTTCTCTCTCTAAGCACATGTCATTTTTGTGCACACTGTGACATTGGATATATGATCAGTTTGAATTGAATCGGATAAAAAACGACCACAAAAAACACAGATACACTATGTACGGGTCGGCCACACAGCCCTCTGTTGTGATAATGATAACAACTCCAATACTGATTAATTGTTTATTGATATGCTCACACTGATTATGATAAGAATGACATAATGCGAGTATGTGACGCCTTACACGAACTGACTCGAAAATGAATGACTTTGATGTAAAATGCATCAGTATGCAAAATGCGGTAGGCAGCGGCTTTTGGGGTAGGCAGCGGCTTGGCTCTGCTCCTGGCATTGCTGAAGTCCATGGGCGACGGTAATCACTCACCATCAGGTGGGCTGTATGCTCGTCTGCCTACAGGGGCAATAAAAAAAAAAGATGTGCGCGCTGGTCCGTACACACTAATTGTGATTAAATAGTTTAATGTTTTGTTTTCTCCCGCAGCCGATCTACCTCCGCGTGATGCTGCAGGCCGACCGAGGTAGGCTGGCCCCGCGCTTGCTCCGGCACCCCACCCACCCAGACCTGTGCGCGCTCCGACCGGCCGCCCCCACCGCCCCCCCGACCGACCGCCACCCCCCGCCGCGCCGCCGGACCGGCTCCCTCAACGAGACGATGTTCCGCATCCCCCACGTAGAGATCACTACTGCCGACGCGCACTACGACGACCTGTGCGTTAGCGACGTCGACGACGCACTGCTGAGCGTCAGGCGATGCGTCGACCCCTACACGCCGGAGAGTGCGGACAGCCCTAACGCTGAGGGTTCCGATGTGGAGGGGAGGTCGACTGAGCCCAATCGAGACAGGAGCGTGTCGCCGACGCAGCTAAAGCACAGATTGGATCGTCTGCTGACCGGCAGGGAGGCCGAGCTCGGCAGTAGCGACTCTACTAGCCTGTGCTGTCTGGCACTCCGTTGCTACGGCCTGCGTTGTCACAGGACGCGTAGAGCCCAATGCGAATGCGAATCGAGTAAATGCTGCACTTACTGATGCCCTTTTGGCTCTAGCATTGCTGATGTCCATTGGCGATGGTAATCACTCACCTACAGGTGGTATGCTCGTCTGACTACAAGGGCAATAAAAAAATAACCCGGTGGCAAGGCAGGTCGGCGCATGCACGCTTTAATGTTTTAGTAAAATCAGTAGTAATCGATTAGTATTGCGTTTTAAATAAGTATGGCTTTTTATAACTTAAAAATGACACACTGTTGAAACAATGCATTTTTAGTTGTAGTTTTTTGTTGTCGTACCGCATGCAAGTTTGTCTGTATGTGTCTGTGTGTAGTGTAGCATGGGTTTTGTAATTCTCGATGCGAATTCCATAAGGTCGGATTTGGTTTTAACTCGTTTCCCAAACGTTTCTGAAGTTGAGCATTTGAGTATTTGAGTATTTTAGATATTTGTGACATCAATTTTAAAAATTTTGAATGACTGATCAAAATTTTACAGCTTAGAGGTCAGATTAAACAAAACTACCCCCCAATATTGGCTGAAAATATATCCGACCTTGTGCTTCTGAACTCGAGTAGTAGCAATAGGTAAATATTTTTAGTTATGGTAATATCGTGCTTATTGTGTCTGTATCTAGTCTGTAATTATTTGTTTTTCTTTACCAAATCATTTATGACGAGGGAAGCAAGGTAACTTGAGTCTAGTTGTAGTACGGTTGGCAGAGCAATATTGTTTTTAAAATAGAAAAACGAAATCTAAAAAAAAAAAAACTAAATTTCCTTAATCGATTTTTCCAAGTTTATAACAAACTACAATCTTTATTAGTCCTCGAAATGCAATACTAAGCATAATATATTTTTTTAATTTTTTTTTTACTTTTAATTTTCTTTCATACCAAATCATTTTTAATTTAATTTTTTATTCTAGTCGCACTGCTCAAGCGTGTTGGTCATTTGATTTTGTTTGTTGAGTTTAATTTTTGTTTTGTTCATTTTAATTTTAAGTGAAAAAGTTTTTTTTTTCTGAATAATTTTTCTTACAGTTTGCGAGTTTGTTCTAAACAAACCTTTAACCTCTAATAAGTATTAAAAATAATATTATGAGAATATTATTAAATCATAACCTAGTATATCTATTTTCGTGATTACGTATAATAATATTAATATTTAATTTGACTTATTAAATAAACATTCCGCATTTATTTTTAATTTATTTTTTATTGTTCTATTGCATGGTGATTGTAATAGTATAGCGCGTTCGGGCGTTGACAGAGTCCGCACGGGACGGGCGCCCCCCGTGAGACATGAGGTCTAAGTCTCAATAGTATATGTTTTATTGGTTCCAAAATACCCATTGAGTGTTTTCACTTATCATTTTACATTTAGTCTTGTACATTATTTTTTAAATAGTGGGTGTTTGGAATATACCTCATGAATACATATAGGCGCAACACTACTATTTATTTAATCTAAACTACATAATTAAAGATAACTGTTTCCTTAATTTTCAAATGATTAGTTAATCTATTATAAGTACGTACATACAACGTACATAAACAATTGCTTAAGACCAATGAAGTAGGAAACCTATGGAAATGAAACGTCAACCAAAATTTCGTGCCACTGTGACGTCATCTGGCCACAAAACATGGCGGCTTTAGTGCTGTACAAAAGATTTCAATGTTATCAGGTTTTATCGATAAACGTTCTTGGCTCATTTTATTTTAAATATTGTTGAGTATTATTTATTTGTAGAATTTATACTTTAATGGGAAGTAAGTAGGTATATTGTTATGTGCAAATATGATATGATTTAGATGAGTGAAATCTAAGACAAGTTCGTCCTTCGAATTTGCCAAGTAAACGATATGATGATTTTTAAAAGTTGCTACACTGATTTTATAAAGTTGTCGTTTGTCGCAAAACATAAAGATATGGCGTAGTTCAAAGCCATCAGCCCATTTCTAGCATGCTAAATGTTATCGTATTTTGAGTACGTGATTTTCTTAGACTATTACAATCTATTTTAATTGTTTTGCTGACTCTAAAGTCCGTAACATACTACCGCAGCGCACCCCAAGGAAGGTGCGCCGCACCATTTGAATCACTTTCGCTTGAGAGTGATTCAAATTTTAAACTTATCAAGGGACCGCTTGAAAAAAAAAACACCTACAGAACATTTATTCATTAATTACAAACGTCATTCCTTATTTATTTATTTTATTTATTTATTTATTTATGTACACACAGAAAACAAGACACAGTACAGAGTAATAGGAAAATTATGTACAAAGGCATCCTTGTGACTTCCTCTCTAAAATCACTTAATTATTAAATATTTAACAAATTTACAATAGTGTTTTACTCACTGCGGAATAAAACTATTTTATTTAGATAGTTCCGAAGAGATTTTGTCGGTAGCCTTTTTCCCGAAATATCTAAACAGAATGTCTAAATATGTTTTGATGACATATTTTAAAGTGGTATTTATGATTCATTATCATGATCAATAGATTCCGACCGAAAAATGGATTTTTCGGATGAGGGCTCCATAATGAATTTAAATATATATAGATAATAGTTTTAGGACATCGACTTTCTTGAGATCCTATAAAATACGTTTTAATTATTATTTTTGTATGTTTTAAGCATGATAAATTATGAAATTTTATATAATCAATCATATTAAATCGATATCATAGTCAATAAATAATGTACAACCCAAAACAGACGGCCGAACTGACGTAACAATGACATTTGGCGCGCTAAACATGGCGGATTTTCGGCCTCATTAGACGGAGACGGAGATATTTACGTATATTCATGTTTCATTTTATGTACGCACTGAAATACTGTTATATTGTTTTCCTGCGAGTTAAAGTGCTGAGTAAGAACGAGATAGATATATGTTTATGTATGTGCCTTCAAAATGGGTGCTATTTATATAAGCAATTGTACGTATAGAACAATATGTCGTGTCCCTACTATATAGGTCTATGCCCAAAACAGACGGCCGAACTGACGTGACAATGACATTTGGCGCGCTAAACATGGCGGATTTTCGGCCTCATTAGACGGAGACGGAGATATTTACGTATATTCATGTTTCATTTTATGTACGCACTGAAATACTGTTATATTGTTTTCCTGCGAGTTAAAGTGCTGAGTAAGAACGAGATAGATATATGTTTATGTATGTGCCTTCAAAATGGGTGCTATTTATATAAGCAATTGTACGTATAGAACAATATGTCGTGTCCCTACTATATAGGTCTATGCTTAAGACGGTATTCAATTTTTAAGAGATTTTATGACCTGGTAACTAAGACCTTTAAGTCATGTCTTATTTTAATTTATGTTCTGATTTTTATGAAAAATGATAATATGGAGTGAAATGAAATGAAACTTATTATTTGTGACATTAATCAACTGGCATGAAATTAAATGAAATGAAATGGAATGAAATATAACCTCAGTAAAATGGTGGTCATTTACTAAGATTTTTTCAGTGGACTTTTTGGAGGATCCCGAGAAGTTACGTCCAGCAGCTTTGTTTCATTTTCCCACAATTGTGCACTTTCACAGATATTAAACAGTTAATAAACCACCGTTATTACACATTTGAACCTGAAGAAACACTAAATAGACAAAATAAAACAAATCACACAACTTCACTCCTCGCGTTCCAGCCAAAAAGTCCAGACGGTATTCAAGAGAATTCATCAACAAACTACCCACATTATTCTACTGTATATATTAGTGGTCATTGTCGCACCAATCACTCCGACATGAGCTTTGTTATACACTTCATGGTCATTAAAACGAATTATTTGAAGAAGTAATCCGTTAATTATTAGGATGATAATAATAACTAGTGGTCGCCCGGTAGTCGAAATTCGACTATAATTAATTAAAATAATAAGTTTGTTCACTATTAAGATTCTATTTGCAAAGACTATTATACTTTTATAATCACAAATTTCGCCAAGACTACAACTATAAAAAATATTAATAGAGACAAACAATATTTAATCTATTCTCAATTTGACAATAAATAAATAGTATTCATGCACATGTGCTTCAAATACATAGTATGTAGTGTGTGTAATTTTTTTATTTATTGATTTAATGTATTTCTTAGGCATAATTTAAAAAAATATAAACATTCTGCACTCCTTTATATTCTCTATAAGTGTGGGAAATTTCATACTCCTCCGTCCGCGCAATTTTCGTAAAAAGGGATACAAAGTTTTTCCTTCACGTATTAAATATACAGATAATAATGGAAAGTATGGCGTTTCAAAAAACAAGATGGCGCCGGTTGCACCGTCATATGTTTGCCGATTGATTGTTTATACGTGTGCTGTGTATTGTAGTTACGCGTGTGTGTGTCGTTAGTTCCGTCGGCTGCTTCGCGTGAATCGCTCCGTCTGTAAGTATTGTTCGCTCGCACTCATTGTACTCGACGTTAGAAGCATAAGGTCGGATCTTCGATTCAGCTAAAAGTAACTGAAAGTATTTTAATGTATTAGTTTCTTTCATAAACAATAATAATATTAAGATTTAATATGTTTATATCCATATTTTGTTTTTAACTAGCTTTTTTTCTTAATGATGCCTTTGTTTATTTTTTCTCGCGTGTGTAAACGCACAGACGACAAACATTTTAACTAATATCAATATCAACTTTGTATATAACACATTCTCTGTTTTTATTTTTGTTGTTGAAATTATGCAGAAAAACTATTTCCATTTTTTTTTTATAATTTAATAATGCCATTTAACTATTTCGTCTCAAACAAAACGGAATGTTGAATTGCGGATGTCCGACCTTATGCTTCTGGTCACGAATATTTTAGATTTGTAGTGTGTCTGTTGTGATGTTTTTGTGACAGTTTATATTTGGCTTGCAGTGCTTTGAACTAATAAATCACTTTAATTTTGATTTCTATTGCTTTGGCAATAGAGTATGATATTTAACATGACGTATGGCTAGAAAAGATCACGAACAGAATGTCGGTCGATGGAAAACTTTATTTTGAGGTGGTGGAATTGCTGACATCCAATTGCTTTATCAGCTTCGTAAGGATTGACGGTGGTCACCCAGGATCCATTAAATTCGTGGACAGACTTCCTCATAGATCATCCGATTATTAGTGGAATCGGACTCATTGTCATCAAAAATATCGATTGGTATTTCACCAACCGTAATAGCACCTAACGCTTTTTTGACACGACATGTGATCGTGTCTAAAAAGCCATGTCGTGATCTATTGATATAGTATAAGGTTACCTTTACCCCGAATGATGTAATACGTCAAAGTTCGTTTTTTTAAAGATATTTTATGCCTTAGTAACTAAGACCTTCAGTCAAGTTTTATTTTAATTTATATTCTTATTTTTATGAAAAATGATATTATGGAGTGAAATTAAATGATAAATGGTGGTCATTTACAGAGACTTTTTCAGTGGGCTTTTTGTAGGATCCCGAGAAGTTACGTCCAGCGGCTTTGTGTTATTTTCCCACATTTCTGCACTTTCACAGACACTAAACAGTTAATAAACCACCGTTATTGCCCATTTAAACCTGAAGAAATAAATAGTCAAAATAAAATAAATCACACAACTTCACTCCTCGCGTTCCCGCCAACAAGTCTCAAATTTCGTTCAGTCCGTTTTCAGCGCAGATTATTCAATAGCACAGACTGAAGCGTGTTATTATCGATCGATAGAAGTCGATGCAATAAAATGGGTGCTTCGCTGAATGTTCCAGGTAATTCGCGACTGGAGTACCACCCTGAGTCGTCGCCGAACCACCTGCGCAACGATGAGCACGACAACGGACACGACAACGGACACGACAACGGACGCGACAACGCCGACCCGCCCGAGTCGCGCTACATACAGTTCAATATTGACAACGTCTGTGAAATATTCAAAGAGACCGATATATAAACTCACGGACCGAACTCTGTGTTCTAAAGACGAATACTTTACGTCTAGGGAACTAACTACGCGATTTTTAAAAATAACGTTAAAAAGGCGTTGCTAATAACGACTATACTTAAACTTAAATTTAATTATAGGAATTGCCCTTGACATCTGATCTATGAATCTATAGTGAGGGTTATCAACGATGTTTTTACCCGATTTAGTAATAGCGCTTTCACTGTTTCTATCGCAAAATCACTGGAAGGTTAAAATAGCCGCTATTAAAAAAACAATAGAGCTCTAAATGCTGTAAAGACTTGTCGTGTCTATAGGTAAAATAGTAATTTTATTAGCGATGATGCGAAATCGTCACTCAGAGAAAGGCTAACGTTAATTTGACGTTATTAAAATTTGTGCTATTAGCCGTTTTGATGGTAAGACGTACATATAATTATAATTTTATTGCCTCATTATCGTAATGTCAAGTTTACTCAACTGTCGTTTAGTCAATTGTCGAGTTTACTCATCTTTATCATACAGTTAATAATTGACAACAATGAACCCTTATAATGTCCGAAATTTTAATTAATTAATTAATGTATTAAGTGATTTTTTTTAAATATGAATCTTAGACGACGACATTATGAAGGTATTAGCGATTGAATTTTGACATTTTAATTGATTTTTTTTTAATTGTTAAATTTTATTATTTGACCTTGGGCAGCACTTGCCTTCATCATCCTTGACTCGCGCTTGCACGTTACTAAGTGACTTGATAAATAAATAATAAAATAGGTAAGCTATTTGGACGGTAGATGTGTTAAGCTTGTATTCTAGTATGAATGTGTGCAGGCTTCGCGCGGGCGTTGACCCCGAACGTCAGCGTGTTACATTGCTGCACTGAAACAGCAATGTTTTTTCTTGTCTTACTTTCGGGAGACAGTCTCGCTCTGATAGCTCAGTAGGCAGCGGCTTGGCTCTACGCCTGGCATTGCTGAAGTACATGGGCGACGGTGAGCACTCACTATCAGGTGGGCCGTATGCTCGTCTGCATACAAGATCAATAAAAGAAATGACATGCTATAAAATATATATAGACATAGCGCTATGCTGTAGTACATTGATCGATTATCAGATGACGTTAAAAGTATTTCGATATTGATACATCTTAAAGCCCGTGTGGACATGGATTATGAACAACACAATTAATTCTATTGTTGTTGTTCGAACAAAAAATATATTGATACGATCAATAACGTAACTTAAAAAAATTAGAAAATATATTGTCTAATTAATAATACAGCAGTTTTAAAAATAAACTGCATTGCTGCCAAATTGAGGCTCGGTGGCCGTACTTAAAGAAAAAAAAGAGTATCTCTGCGTGTCTGTGTGTTCGTTCGTGTCCGCAGGTAATACGAATGTTGAGGGTAGATGTAAATATATTTTACTCTCATACGTTGATTTTGAGTGGAAAGAAACTTAATTCTTTATTCGGTTTATAAACGAAAATGATATAACCGGATTTATTTCGTAAGGTGAATATACTGTGCTGCTAAAAAAAAATACCTCGATAAATTTCAAAGGTAGGATTTTCAAAGAAAGGAGTGTACTATGGGGTGCCACAAACGTTTTATTTTGTATACAAAGCAATAATGGTGATTGAATTAAAAAAAAAATGTAATCACTAAAGAGTATTCACGCTCATTTGCGACCGGTTATCTGAAGACCGGTTGAATGTTTGAATCAACTAGTCATCTAAACCAATCTAAGTTGAATAACCATTCCAAAAAAATATACTTAATCTAAAAATATAATAAAAATATATTAAATACTCATCTCTAGTCTTTTTGACGTCACTATTCACTTGAAACTTAATTATACTTATATTTATTATTATAGATTAACTCATAATTATTTTTCCCACCAAACATTTAGCATATCTTAGTGTATTTTTGTGTAAATGTAAATAGATTTTTCTAGAATTGCGTCGCCTATGTAAATACAAATACCTATGCAAATATGTACAACATGAGGTTCAATCATTAATAAAAAATAATAAAGTAAATAAATTTAAAATATTTCTAAGACAATTAGTTACGAAATAATTTTTTTAACTCTTTTCAATTAAAAATGATGCCGTATTAGATAGATTTATCTTCAAATTGGTTGAAACGAAGCGAATTTTCCGGTTATTTAGTGACGTGACTAGCCTAATATACCCTAATATACCCATTCAATAGTCTAGTCCTGATGAAATCGTAACAATTGATTTACTTTTCATACTTTCATTTTCGACCATAATAAAACAAACTAGTCCTACATAGTTTTTACAATATAAAATTGATTATAGAAACAATTGTTGGGTTTTGACTGACGCTAGAAGTTTTTATATGAGCAAACGCGTGTAAAATCGCATTAGGATTCTAGCCCAAACGTCCTGTAGATGAATATTTGTACAGCTTAAAGGGAAATAGAAGACATTTAATTTTGATCGAGCAAGGCGGCAACTCACTTGTTGACGTATCATTAAAACCATCATCTTAAGTCTTATCTGATACCAGAGTTTAGGCGAATTATAGGCGGCTTATAACTCGGCGAATATCTTAAATCTGGCCGCATTTTTTCGTACCAAGAACCGCCACGTCACGTCTGTCGTCTGTCAAAGCCTTAATCATTTTCTTCCTTTGCCATGTTAATCCGAATTTATATTAAAATTTATTATTAATTATGATGCCACACGTTTTGTCCAAAAATATATATTATTATGTAACGTAATGTAATGTAAGTTGGTAAATTATAATTCGAGTCGAGAAGTTTCTAAGGCAATATTCTACTGCTTAGAATTGATCGGAAATTGGGTACTTGAGAGATGTCGTGTTTGATTAAAATCAATAGTATATGTGAGATAAACAGTGATATAGAAATGTTTGTTGAAATTATTCCGATCGGTTGATAAAGTTTGAGATATAAACTTTTAAAATATCTAGGTTCGTTTGATAGGGGTTGCACTTACCCCTTGCGACAACGAGAATACTGGCAAATGCAATTAATTTATTATTGCAATGAATATTGCATTTGTTGGACGGTATTATTACGAAAACTGCATCTAGATCAGCGGTTCCCAAAGCTATTTCGTCTACCGCCCACTTTGAGAATAGATTGTTTTTTAACGCCCCCATTTTTTCATCTACTGAAAAATTACTATAGCGAGAGCTCAGTCGGTGTCTAAGAGTCCTCCTAAATGTTATTACAAATCGCCTCTCAAGCCTCTACACAACGCCCCCATTTTTTTCTGGGTCTCTTACCGCCCTTCTTAGGGCCTTCAGCACCCACTGGGGGGGCGTTATCGCCCACTTTGGGAAAGGCTGATCTAGATGAACAATTTTTTGCAACTACCTCACATTTGCAAAGAATATTGATTAAAGTAGAACTAATACTTAAGCAACATGATAAAGTTCATCCTAGTCGAGTCCTAGTACATCCTAGTCCTAGTAGTAAATACAGTTGTGCAATGATACGTTTTTTCAATACATGGCAACACTTAAAACAAATCAGTTTCCCGCCCTATAGACTGATCGACTCATTTGATATCGGTATTATAATATTATACAAAAGTTTTGTCATATTATATAAGTACAATTTTATTGTTGTTAATATAGTATTTTAGATTTTACGACTCCTGTGTAGTTGTGCTTTCGGAATGTACTGTCATGTCGTAGTGTAGTATAGTTCAGTGATTTAAGTGTTCTTGTCTAGAAGTCGTCGTGGCCTAAAGGATAAGACGTCCGGTGCATTCGTATGAAGCGATGCACCGGTGTTCGAATCCCGCAGGCGGGTACCAATTTTTCGAATGAAATACGTACTCAGCAAATGTTCGCGATTTACTTCCACGGTGAAGGAATAACATCGTGTAATAAAAATCATACCCGCAAAATTATAATTTGCGTAATCACTGGTGGTAGGACCTCTTGGGAGTCCGCACGGGTAGGTACCACCACCCCGCCTATTTCCGCCGTGAAGCAGTAATGCGTTTCGGTTCGAAGGGTGGGGTAGCCGTTGTAACTATATTGAGACCTTTTTTTTTTTTTTTTCTTAGAACCTTAGAACTTATATCTCGAGGTGGATGGCGCATTTACGTTGTAGATGTCTATGAGCTCCAGTAACCATTTAACATCAGGTGGGCTGTGAGCTCGTCCATCCATATAACAATAAAAAAAAAAATGTCGTTATGTATTATTTAGTGAGTATTGTCCGCCGTGTTGGGAAACGTCTATGATGCAGCATAATACGCTTTGTGTACTCTTTTTGGAGTATGGTATGAATCAGTATTGTTCTGAATAGTTTGTACATTTTAACGGGATTTCTAAGATTGAGTTTGTCAACTAAAATGTCTGAGGCGTTGCTCCACTGTGTCATTTTACGACAGTATGTCAGTAACTGTTTGCAGCTTCAAGTATCGTGACCGACCGTCAAAGTAGGCCGCATTCAATTTCTTCCTGCTTCCCTTACGATATTATGCATCATGTTAACGCTAACCGTACACCTGATTAACGACTCTTTCTCGGTTTAATCGCCGATACGATATCGGATCTACCAACCGTCCTCTACGTATTCTAAATATCGGGTATAGTAAAATCAACGATATAGACGCGAGATTACACCGTGAAATTGTTTTTAATCATGAATATTTATATATGTTCACGATTATTTACCTGTTTTACGTTTAGCTTTTTAAGGTGGCTTACTGATATTCGTTTTCCAAATAGTTCCAAAGAGTTTTTAATAAATACGAAGTACTTAATAGCATCGTCTAGTCGATTTATTTTTAGTTTATCCCAACATTAAGTTTTGATTTAATTAAGATCGAGAAATCGTATGAAGAACACGTAAATCACTGACTTAGCGTAGATACTTAGCAACAATTCAATTGTTTGGAAAGCTTCTGTCACAGGTGAATGTTGCCAGGGAGAAGTTAGTTTTTAATCGGGAGCCCAATAAGTTGCGCTTACACGTTGTTTGTTGTGGGTGTTTCAGTCATTGTTTTGATTATAATAAAACTATAATTGAATACTTAAATCACTCATTTTAATTTTCTTCAGCGTCCATCTTTTACGTTACATTTTTATCTGTGTTGCCAGTCCTATAAACATCCCCCCCTTTTAAAGTACAACTCCCCTTTATCTATTATGTAATACATTTAGCCAATATCAACAAAATCCTTAAATCTAGTGGGTTTCTTAACTACTCGTCCACTCCTTGTTATTTTATCATTACTACATTGTTCATTTAAGCCACCCCTGCTGGTCCTGCTGCTGGGAGTAGGTAGATTAGCATTATTTGTAGAACTATCCAAGGACCTACTTCTCTCCCGTGATCTTGCTGGACTCGCCTGGGTTGCCATGTTACTTCCACATACTATTTTTTCTAAGCTAGGCTCTTGTATAACATATTTAGCTGAAGGCTGACACATGCTATTATCTAATACAATATCAGGTATATCATCTACAGCAAAATTATGATTTTTTACTTTAGTTGTTCTACAATTGTTTTTTGTATCAGGTGAACTGTCTGGCACTCTTTCTAAAATATATTTTCTGTTTCTTCGGTATATTTTTCCTTCACTATCAGCTACTAAATAAGAACGGGGCTCAGTACAATTTTTTATAATTTTTCCTTTTTGCCAATTTGAATCTAATGTTTTCTTGAAATATACCTCTTGGTGAAGTTTTAATTGGGGTAATTCTTTTGCACATTTGTCATAATTCTTTTTTACAGAGTTTAAATGGTTATAATATTTACTGTCACAATAAAACAATTTAGGCTTAAGTGTGCTTCTAGGTACTGGTATGAGTGAATTTAAGTTTCTAGAGTACAATAATTGTGCAGGCGATGGCATATAAGGTTTAGGTGTATTTCTATAATTTA